CTTTTCTATTGACACTTGAATTCAATTGGCTACTGCTCAACCAATAGCATTTGGGGGTGAATACAGCTCACATTTGAACTATTTGGTCCCGGACATACAGACAAAAATAAAACGAATTAAGCAACGTGATTGGTCTATTTCGATTTAAATCGTCTTTTTGAGACGATTTATTCGTTAATTCAGTTTTAATTCACTTTGAATTAGTCGGTGTTCGGGGCCTTCGCCTTGATTTACTCTAAGAAAGTCGTTTTCCCTATAACTTGATTTCTATTGGTCAGTGCTCAATCAATGGAGCTTCGAGGCAAGTGGAGTACAAATTCGAGTTCTCCATCCCGAAAAACTCTGGAGTATCGCCTTTGCGATCAGAGGATAGAGCTCTAATTGTGGATCACATAGAGCGTGGACAAGAACAGAACCGATTTCCGTTTATTTATCTTTGCAATAGGTGAGTTAGCTTCCTTGTTTCTTGATGTTTTATATACCATTTTGTAGCTCGTGAAATTCTCTGTTGAATGGTATATAATAATTGGGGTTTTATGTGACCATGATCGGGAAAGCCTTTTACGAAAGCAAGGACTGGTTGATCCTCACATAGGAAAGCATAGGGGAAAATAATTATTTTTACAATAACTCACGAATGGCTCGGACACTCATTCTCATCTTCGAACTCAACCGAGATATTGTTGGGACAAAACTGTGTAGAAAACTTCATCACGATTGAACTCTGCTTTCAAAAGTTATCGCGTAAACGGCCGGTCGCTCGGCCGGACACACTGACCGATTCTAGAGTGTACTTACTTTTTGAGTACACAAAAATTTTGCTCTTGAATGGGAATAAATATGCGGTTGAACCTTCTTCTTTTTTGCTTTTTTCTTGCTTATTTAAACGTATATACTGGAATGGACGAAGAGAACTAACTTGTAAAAATTAAATTTCTTCGTCCATTCCAGTATAAAAATTCAAATAGGCAAGAAAAGAGCAAAGAAGAAGAATAAAAAGAAGAAGGTTCAACCGCATATTTATTCTCATTCAAGAACAAAATTTTTTAACTCTAAAAAAAAACATATTACGTTCGAAACGTCGGTTATAATATATATTGTTATATATTTATATTTACATTTATATATTTTACTCTCCATTACTATGTTAAATTTTTATTTAATTGTAAATAATAATTTATATAAAATATTTAATAAATTAAGAAAAAGCTAAATTTTTTTAAAAATGATCAGTACAACCTACCTAAGGCGTATGAACTTTCATTCTGATTTCACAACAACAGACATCGCTTTACTCTGATAAAAACCAATCACTGCAGCCTCCTGCAAAGCTGAAATAAACTACTCATAACCTAATAAACCTCATTAAAACTTGTATTTGCATTTACTGTATTTTCTTTTATTCAAAGACATATGAGTTGCACAAAATTAAATATATATGTTAAAAAGTAAAATTGCAAACACTAATCTATTTTGGTATAAAAAGAATATGTCTTTCTAAAATTTCTCCAGAAGGGGCTCAAAGGTCCGTAGGGGGGGGGCTCAGCCCCCCCTGGCCCCCTGCTGGCTACGCCACTGACTTATACAATCAAATTCACCTATTGGTGAGGTTCTCACAGCTAAAATTGTTCCATGTTTTGTTGAATTATTAAAATTTCAGCAATTTCAAATTTAAGTAAGATTTAAAAAGAAATAATAATAATCAAAAGAATTCTTCTTTTTTAGGATTTAGTTTGGAGTTGTATTGGTTACAAATATTATATCAGCATCAGGCAATTCAAGTCAAACAACACATGTTATTGATGATGTTAGTAATGCACTAGTTTTTGTCAAATTATTAAGTAATGTGAATGAAGATTTTCAGGAACAAGTAAATAAATTAAAAATGTCATTGATTTATAATTAATTAAAACTCATTTTAGGCTATGTGAGCATTTGAAAATATTCTTAGCAATAGTCCGGTATGTTCTGATTATGTTTTTGATATAAGTATACTTAGAATATTATTACAGTAAACTATCTTTTTTTGTTGAAATAAATAATAAAAGGTTAATCTTTGTTATTTATTTGGTATCTTTTCATGTAATGCACATTTAACAACAATACGAAATGCTGGATGGCGCTTAACAAGTTTATGTTGTGACAAAAATCCAGCTGTTAATTTTAATAAAGTGAAAAAAAAAGAAATATTTGTAAATAGATAAACAAATTTTTATTTAGGTTACTCTAATATTATCCGTACTTAGTCGTTTACTTTATAATCTTGACTTGGATGTATTAGCTGATACATATTGGTCTATTTCATATTGATCTGATGGATCGAATGAACAACTTCAAGCTGTTATCCAAGCTCGTGTAACAACAAGATTTGTTGAATTATTAGAGTAAATCAATAAAATAAAATTTAAAATAAAATATTTCTTTGTTTTTGTAGTTATTAAACATTCAGTTTTAAATTTTCAATCATCAGCATTATATGCTGTGAAAAATATTGTCACAGGTGGTAATCGATAAATAGTGGTAATCAATTTATTTAAAAAGGAACGAAGGATTTTTATAATAACAATATCGCTTGTTCTTGATAGTAGTATACTTCCGCATTTATTAACTGTACTTTAAAATTCAAAAGAATCAATTAAAAACGAGGCTTATTGGACTTTATCAAATATAACAGCTGATATTCAAAGTCAAATTCGAGTAAAAAAAAATTTTTTTATTTTTTGTTAATAAATAGAAATTTTGTAAATTTTAGGCTGTTATTGATGCAAATATATTTCCATCATTAATTAATATCGTTAAACATGGTGATTATAAAACACGAAAAGATACTGCTTGGGTTGTAACAAATGTAACATCAGGTAGTACATCACAACAAATAAAGTAAAAGAATCTTTTATTTGAGTATTTATATACATATATATATATATATATATATTATTGATCAAGGACCAATTTCACCATTATACGGATTATTAAGTATTGTAGATAGAAAAATGATTCAAGTAGCTTTTAATGGTTTAGAAAATATTTTTAAATTAGGTATAGCAGAGAAGTTAAACGAACGAATAGTTACAATCCATATGCAATTATGATTGAAGAATGTTTTGATTTAGATAAAATTGAATGTTCAGTAAGTCATGAAAATATTGAAATTTATTAAAAAACTTTTCATATTATGGAAGTATATTTTGGTGTTGATGAAGATGAATATCTTTCACATCAAAGAGAATTTGCACTATTTGAATTTGATACAACAAATAGTCAAGTAATATCAACAATAAATGAACAAATAAATCCAATTAATGTAGATATCAATCAACAATTTAAACAAGGTCAATTTCAATTTTGAACGTTTTACTTCGAAAGTTAATCGATATAAGTAGGAAAACTTTTTTTTGAAAAATATATTTTTCGTAGAATCGACACGAGTTTGTTTCTTTTTATATAGTCTGTGAAATATAATATTTAGCATTGAAATCTTAAAAATATCTATTTGGATTTTACACCATCATCGATATGCATCAGATTCCATTATACTTGATAAAATTGAAAACGTAATACATTATTAATATCATCCAATTTCAGAGAAGATTTTCTTCTTATCTTTACATTAGATTCTTGGTTAATTACTCTTTGTGTTCTTGAAACTCCGTCGATGTTAGAAATTTCTCAAAAACAATAGACATTGTGCATTTGGCCGATGAATTAGACTTCTTTTTTGATGTACTTGAATGAAACAAAAATCAAACTGATTTAATTAAATAAAATCTCTTATTAAATAATTCACCTAATGAAATAAAAATAAGAATCTGTTTAACTGATCTAATAACATTTACACTTGTTGTCTTGGATAGTCTTGAGGATGCTATTATTAATCTTCCTACACCTATTCTATCAAGTTTATCTGAAGTTGATATTGAATCTAGTGCACATAATACATCCGATACAAATGTCGTTATTGATATATTACCAACACTAGTATCTATTCTTGTTAGTAAAACTAAAATAGAAAAATCAATTACAAACGAAAATCTTGATTTATCAGTAGAAAAACGATCGAGATTTGAAGGAAATATTCAACATAGATTAAAAATAATTGCAAGACGTTCAGGAGATTCATTCATATCATCATTAATGAATATAAATGATAATAGTCATGAAACTTCATCATAATGAGATCTCACTGATGAATTAGATGCTAATCTTGATGCAACTGTATTTAATAATGATTTCTAAAGAACGATAGTATTAGTTTAACAGAAAAAAATTATAATGGAACGAGAACATTAGAATGGCTATGCTTTTCGATGAAAATGAAAAGAAAAATTTTTTATTTCTCATATAGGTTAATAATGTATTTATTAAATTAAATCAAATAAATGTTTGTATAAGAGAAGATAATAATAAACAAATGTTTATGGCATATAATGTAAAATATTTACGCATTGGTGGATTTTCTTTATTAAAATTTAATACAATTAAACCAAAATTATTTGAAAATGAAAAGGTGGGTGTGGGTGGGTGGATGGGTGTAGGTGTCGGTGGATGTGTGTCCATGTATAACACTTCAGTTCGCTTACACCCCACACCTACACCCACATTGATACTAAGAACAAATACCACAATTCAACTCAGCATAGTTGACTACTCAAGAACCAATACCGTTCAGAGTGGCCCGTGATCAATTAGCCAATTTTAAGGCTTCCAGTAAAACTCTTATTACTCCTGAATGAAATGAGCTACGAGGATCGGTCTTGTGTAGATCGACAAAGAAATATCTTTGCTATAAAGTAAGTAAATTGAAAATTATAGTTAGTTCAGGAATTTTTTTCAAAAACTCCTGGTCCAAACCTACAGCAAAAGCTAATCAGCTAGATCAATGCATAGTGAATGTGGTTTAGCAGAATTTTACTTCCCCCACATTTCTTTTTCGAATGGGAAAAACTGCAGATTTCTAGCTGCTTTCATTCTCAAGACAATTAAAAAATATCGAGATTCGTTATATTTTGGCACCGATAGTTGCTCTGAAAGTTTGCTCTATATGCATCAATATTATATTATTCATAAAGTTTGTTTTAATTTCTTCTTTTCATTCTCTCAGACGATAACTGAAAATTATCTATGAAATGCTATCAAATTATTTTTTTTTACTTGATAACAGGTGAAATTGCTTTCGTGATATCAACAATACTTAATAGTAGTATTTGCTTACCTTATTCGTATGAAAAAAGACTGAATAAACTTCTACCACAAACCAAAACATCAGTCCATTTGGTTGAATCAATGCGATGATATTTCATTCTTTTTTTTATCGTAGTATTATTTATGGTCTACCCTGTAGTGTCCTACGTGAACGACATTAGCTATAAGCATTCTCAAAAATCGTTTTGTTTGGTTTTTATATATATAATAAGTATTGCAAAAGTCTTTGAAAAAATGTCGAATATCGGATTGATCTGAAGTTTTTTCTCTTGGAAAGAGCCAAGTCTAAAGAATGAAACAGATCAACATAGTTAGAATTTTTTCTTTCGTTTTATTATGACGAAAGTCAAATACGAAGAGCAATACTCAAAATGTTTTTTCAAACTGGTTTTTCGATATTATCAGTCATTAATTTCACGACTTTACTTGTCTCAAACTTTGAGTTAAACTTATTCATGAATTAAGCTTTTCAATCCCTATCGTTCTATCTATTATATTTTCTCCATTGGCATATTAGTTTGATAAAAAGTGTGAAAGAGAAAAAAAAAACGATTGAAATCAGTCTGATGTTACGTTGTTGAGAAATAAATTTAGACATTCTTCCAACAATTTTTGCATCTCCGATTAACTAACAGAAAACTACCAAATATCTAATATCAAAAATTAGACAAGTTCATCCATTATTCATTAAATTATCGTTTGATTATTACAATTAATTATTCACATTTCTGTCATCTTAGAAAAACATATCTTTTTTCAAAGAAAGTAAAAAAACTTAAGAAATGAATCATATAGATTCTGAAATTAAAGCTCTAGACTGAGATATAAGTTTTCTTCAAAAACTTGGATCTTAAAGATTTTCCACATTCATTTTTTACAGAAATGCTTTAGAAAAAACAATAATGACATATTCGAAATCAGCATGTAAAACTATATCTAATGATGTGTCGTTTGTTAATTTTTAAAATAAAAATTTTTCGGGCAAAAGTTTAGCGTGAGGAGTTTGCATCCAGCCATTGTCCATCGAACATATGTTTTTTAACGAATTTCGTTTTTTTTTTCATTCTATGAAAAAAGACGACGTTTTTGACAAATAATGCATGATGTCCACGTGCTCTATAAAAATTACTCACAGTGCATTATCACCTTCGAAAGGAATATCATTTAAATTATCTCGCGATATAATATTATTATTACTATTATCTTTTTGTCTTGAATGTTTTCGTTTTTTTTTATCAATGTTGTTGATATGCTATATAATTAGAATCGTCATAGGAATTTTGAAAGCATTACAAGAGCGGAAATCGAAAAAAGTCGTTCCCATACGACACTATTAATAATTCTCAAAATAATCAGTTGTAAGCATATTATTCATAAATTTAGTTGCTGTTGTTTTCATTTTTTTTTATCTAGTTTTAATTATAGTCTATGTAACATTTTCTTTTAGTCATAAAATAAAAGATTTAAGAATTTTTCTTTTTTTATTCAAAATATTACGGATTATAAATATGAGTAACACCATCATTCTCATTGGTCTATTTTCAACAAACAAAAGCAAACTAGGTCAATGTGAAATTGTTCGTTAAGGGACAAATACTAGAAAAAGAACTTGATCTGATATATTTTCGAAAATTAATAATAAATGTAAGAAAAGGTGTATTCATAATAATAAAGAATAGAGAAAATATATATTTATTGCGTATATTTCATATTAAGACAACAAATAATATGCAATTGAAATGTTTGACTCGTTGACAGAAAAAAAAGTAATAATATATATATATATATGGTTATGTTTTTTATTATTTCCAGGTAAACTAATAGACGTAAAAAACATGTGATAAATATTCATAAATGTTTAATACATTTTCAACTTTTATAATAAAAAGAAGAAAGACATAAATGAACCAAGAAGAAAGTGAAGACGAATCTCTTTATATTGATACAAATAGAAATATTTTACATGTAAATAAAAAATCAAAATCTGTTGTTTGTTTGTTTTTTTTTCTAAAATCTATTTTAATATATATTCGTAGGTCGAACCAATCGATATTAATACAAGTTTATCATCTTTAACAACAAAAGGTATTTCTCTTGATAATGTATTACGAAAATGTGGCGATTTTGGTCGATTTCAAATAATACATTATTTTTTCTTGAGTATCATGGCAGTGAGTGCTTCAATTATTTCTTTTTACTATGTTTTTGGTGCTGCTGAACCTGATCATCGATGTCGATTACCAGTAAATGTATGGCCAGATGATACACAATATAGTCCAATAAATCAAACACATGAATTATATATTAATAATTATATTCCAAAAACTAATGATGGAAAACAATGGAAAAAATGTGTACGTTATATGATAAGTAATATGAATGATACACTTGTGAATTGTCCAAATGGTTGGGTATATGATCGATCAGTTTTTGGATATACATTTACAGAAGAAGCTGATTTTGTTTGTCAAAATGAATCAAAACGAAGTTGGATAGCAACTGCTATACAATGTGGTGGTTTTTCATTACTTATTATTGGATCATTAGCTGATAGACATGGTCGAAAGAAAATGATTGTTATTGTCACTATGGTATTATTTTTTACTTGTCTCATAACTCAAATTATAATGCAATGGATACCAATGACAATAAAAACTAAGTAATTTAATTTAAAATTATTTCAATAAAAAAACAAAAAAAATATTGAATTTTTTTTTCGGTTAGATTTATTGTTTTATTACTCAATCAATTTGCATCTGGTCTTGTGTTTTCTACTTATAGTTTGATAATTATTTTAGCACTTGAATTAACATCAGCTACATATACAGGTTTAGCTGGAAATTTAATATTTGTTTCATGGACAATTGGTCAAATCATTGTTACTCTATTTGCGTTTATCACATTTGATTGGCAAAAATTAAAATGGGCTAATACAGCTTTTATTGGTTTAGGAATACCTTATCTTTATTTTATGCCAGAATCACCATTATATATTTATGCCAAAGGACAATATGTTTCACTTGAAAATATTCTAAGACGAATAGCAACTCAAAATGGACGAAAAGAAACTGATTGGTATTCATATTATCAAGAATTCTTACGTAATCAACCGATAAGATCATCACAGACAAGTGAATCAGCATTTTCTCAAAATTCTTATCAATTACTTATTCATCGAACAACTATAGTTAAATTAATATTAACAGCTACTATAGGTTTTACAACACTTATGATTTATTTTAAGATAAGTTATGGTTTAGCTATGATGGATACTTCACCATATTTAGGAATATTATTGGGTGCTATTGTTGAAACAATTAGTTATATAACAAGTTCTTTACTTATTTCTAGTAGACTTGGTCGCAAAGGTTCATTTATTCTAATGATGAGTCTTACAATTATTTGTATGATTCTTATTCCATTTTTTGTAAAGTATAATTCAATTGCAAGTCTTGGCTTAGCTCAACTTGGAAAATATACAATATCTAGTACAACTGCAATAGCATGGATATTTGTACCAGAACTTTTTCCAACTTCAATTCGAAGTACTGCTAATGCAGTTTTTATTGTATTTAGTCGTCTTGGTGCTATAACAGCACCAATAATTTATACAACAATAAGTAAAAATTATATATCATATACATTTTATGCTTCAGCAGTTTTAGCATTTGTTGTTCTTTTATTTTCATTAATGTTACCTGAAACAAAAGATAAACCAATGGATGATATAATAGATTATACTACAAGTATAACTGATATTTAATAATAATCTCTTGTATCTAGGTTTTTGTTTTTCTTTTCTTTTCTTTATACATAAAAGTTTGCACTCATACAGAATAAAAGGAAAAAGGAAAAAAAGCACACCTGTACGCTGTTCTTGTTTCACATATGGCCAAAAAACAAAAAAACAAAAAGAAAAACATAAACAAATGTTATGCTACATCCATCAGTATAGATGTAGTCGAGAGAGCGCAAAGAATAGAAAAAAAAAAAACACCGACAAAAACAAACACAAATAAACGATCTGACTAAAAGACCACAAAGACACACCGAGATCCAATTCACCGTTTTTTTTTTTCTTCTTTTTTTCAAAATATATAAGACACGAGAAAAACTTTTTTTTTTCAAAACAAACAAACACAAAGAAAAAAAAAAGAAAACTAAAGAGCAATATGAAGACACACTTTGTTTGTTCAGATATTTTTTTGTTTTATCAAAACTAATCACTGCTCAATGGTTTGAAAACAAGAAAAAAAAAATATATATATATATATATATGTATAACCAAAACGAAAAAAAAAACAAACAAACAAACATATGTACATTAAAATTTGAAAGAGATAAAATGTTTTATTCACTTATTTCAATCAATATTTCGACTTCGTTTTGTAACTGTCAATGATGTCATGTTATTATTAGTTCGACGATGATTTTTACGATGAGCACGACATGCTCGATCAGTTGTAAATGTCTACAAAAGAAAAACAAACATAAACATAATACTTAACATATTTCCATATTATTATTTTACTTGTAAACATTCATCAATATCACAGGAAAATTGAGTAGCAGGAGAACTATCACTATTCACTGTTGAACCATCATCATCCTAAACAAAACAAAAAACAAAAAGCTCTTAGCACAATTCTCGCAGGATTAAAATGTGAAACATAAAGTAGTTGTTGTTGTTGTTATTAACTACAGGAAGATTATTTTACCATCTCGTTTACTTAGTTCTAACAAGATTTTATTGATATATGGTCTGTGATTGTCACTAATACAGTCAGTCGGGTTCAAAATTTTCAGAATAGAACCCGATGAGCTATAGTCATCTGTTGAAGGGGATCCAAAATTTTACTCTCTATACTTCAAACATTCCTTTTTAGATCGTGTTTCATAAAATATAATAATTTAAATATAAGAACATACAAAACGAAATTCACTAAATGATGATGATGATGAGATTTCATCATCCAATTGTTGTTGTTGTTGTTGTACTTTCGTCAGTTGAAATCGTTTTCGTCTAGTCATAACAGAACTCGTTCTTGTTGATACTATTTTTCGAGCAGTTATACTAATTTTTGGCATATAATGAAATTCAATACATTGTTTTACACTTTTTGTTCCAACCTTTAAATAAATAAAGTCAAAATATAAATATTCGCTAAAACAAAAACAAAAACAAAAAAAGAAATTAACATACTGCTCGACTAACAAGTTCAAAATTTTTTTCTGATGTTTGTATAGCTTTTGTAAAAGCATCAATTTCTTCTTTTGTCCATTTATTACAATCAAGAAAATGATAATTATGTAATGGTCGACATTGTTTTATATCATTAACTGTACCATCAAGTAAAGCAGCTAATGTACGTGATAAATCACCATTATATTCATATAATAACATATAAATTAATTCAATTGGATAGGATTTTGGTGAATGACGTGATGAAAATAAAAATGGATTCATTCGATTTAATTGTTCAAATTTTTCAAGAGATTTTTCATCAAGATATAATAATTCTGTTGGTGAAAATAATAATTCATCAGCAATTACTATAATGAATCAAAAAAATTAGTATCAATTATGAACTAATAAGAATATTCAAATACAAATTACAACATTTTATAGGAAATGAAATCTGAGATATCAATCAAATTTTAACTATCCTTAAAACTTCTTCCTCTGACTAATGAACGAATATATTTAAACTATCGAACATTGGTTGATTTCATATTATGCCTACGAATAGATTCATGATCATAACTCAGCTCCAGAAATCAGCGGGTACATAATTATTAGTTTTTATTCTTCCTATTGATCAATTCTTTCGATTATGAGAAGCAAGAAAAGAACTAGTATAATTCTCATATTATCAATTTGATATTTACTATACGAACCTTCATCATCATCATCTTGTAATTTTGTACGACATTTTGGAATAATTGCTTGATATTCTTTACCAATATTAATTTTTGGACCTGCTGATTCTTCACCAATAGGTGTATATGGTGGAAGTGGTGTTGTTGGTATTGATGGTGGTTCTGTTGATGTACCTGGTTGAGAAAAAACACGATAATAAAGACCAGGACCTTTTCGAAATGGACTAAGCATTGGTGGTGGTGTATATGGTGTTGATGGAAGTGGATCTAATGTTTTATTTGTAAGATTAAGACTTAATTGTCTTCGTAATTGTGATGGCCAATAAAATGAACTTTGCGTAGGTTCAGATCTTTTTATTTGTTGAATATTATCATAATTAAAATGTGTATTAGTCGATGTTGATGATGATGATGATGAATTTGTACCAGTTGATGATGATGGTGTACCAATAAGAAAAGCTGATGGTGTGTTTTTTTTTATTGGACTATCAATATCAGGAACAATTTCAAGTACTGCTAATGGTGATGTTTGATTTTCAATATAAATTTGTTGTTGTTTATTATAATCTTGTATTTCTTGTTTCATTGTATATTGAATTTGTTTTTGTGATGTCATTATATTTAATGATGATAAAGATGAACATGATGAAGATGTTGAATGTGTATTTGGTGATAGTTGTATATTATTATTATCTTTATTGCACTTTTGGCTTGGTGATAATGGTGAATTATAACTAATAGTTTGATTTGAATATGGTGATGTTATTGATGTATTTATCATTAATGAAGTCGGATTTTGTACTACGAAAAATAAAAATAAAAAAAATTTTTTTTTGTTTTTCCAATATTTAATATTTGATTTTGTTTTTTCTTTTTACCAGATAAATGACCAAAGTGTGATGATTGTGTATAACGAACAGATTCATTTAATGGTGAAGATATTTGTTGTGGAAGACAAAAATCTGGTTTGAATCGTTCAACATTTGGAAGAATACGATATAATAGACTTGCTGGAATTGATGATGATGGTGATGATGAATGTATTGGATATTGTGGAATATGTGATGGAGATTGATATGGTGATGATCCAATATATGAATGATGCAAAGACATTCCATTCGCCTAAAATGATAATTTAACTTCAATATTTCTCGACTAAAGATGAGTTTTTTTTTTATAGATAATATGAAAAATAATATCATCATGTCATATAAGACATTATCAACTATTATGATTAACGAACAATAATTTATTAGAATATATATAATTTCGAGTTACAGGAATTTTTAGACACGATCGAAGTATGAGTAAAGAATCTAGTCGGTACATTCTGTAGTGCGCATAGTACTGAGCACTATAGAGTATATCAATTAAGCACTTGATGAGGATTAATCAGGTTAACTTCATTTTAGTCCGAAATTTTCGTAACTTTTGAGACCAGATCGAAATTCCGATCTTCCATAGATATGTCGCTAGGGAGTTTGAAAAAAATCTTCGTAATTTTGAACCTGTATAGTCTACAGATATTTTAACCATTTTAGGAGATCAATAGATTGTTCGTCGGATCCAAAATTTTCAGACCTGTTTAAGTTTATATAAGACTTACATGGACATTATGGTAAGGCTAGCAAAAATTTAAAAGGATTCATCACCATAAACCTTTGAAGCTGAATTATCATCGTTCATAGATAGGCCAGATAATCTTTAGAATATCCTGAAAATTTCAGTTGAAAAAAATTAGAAATTCAATATTTCGACAAAAGAATATTCTTTTCAACTAAAACTTTTCGGATATTCTACGGATCATTAGACCTTTCTATGTGCAAATTCAGTAAAACGATCATAACTTGTTTCCAAAGGCCTATGGGACAAGTTTCTGTTCCTAGTCTCATCAAGATCTTTTTGTAGGCCTAGTATAAGTTGAAACGGTGAGTATCAATTCGAATGATTCTCTTGTTAGATATACGAAAGGAGTGATACTATTGGATCGAGACACAATGCTTGACTGTCAGACACAGTTTCGAGAATAATGCTTTTAGTTTTTTTGCTAATCAATATCTGATGAAAATTCATTGGATTTGATTTCAAACTTTACAAGATTATTCATTTTCTATCTTCCTATCTATTGAAGAATGATAAGGTTTTTTATTAAACTATTTTAAAATCCAAAAAAAAAGTCAATCATGCAACTATAGCACGTGATTTACTTTTCTATTCATCACTTTTTAGGTCCTATGAAGTTATATTTGTTGTTTTTTTTATTTTCTAAATGTCATAGTACCTGTAGACGTTGAGAATAATTCTCAGATAATGATGGTTCTTTAATTTTCTCATCATACAATTGTAATGGTGATGATGTATTTAGATATATTTGTGGATTTACCATTGGATCATGTGGTATCATTACATTTTGAATATTCATTCGAGATGGATGAATGACATGTGTAGATAATGGAGTTGATGTTCGATTTTGTTTTATTGATGATTGTATATTCAAGGGATTTTTAATTGTATATTGAGAAAATGGTGTTGTTGAAATTGAATTATTAGGTGATGATGATGATGGACGTGCAGGAGATAATAATGTTGTATTATATAAATGTTTTGAAATAATATTTGAACATGATGATAAATTTGTAAATGATGATTGTGATTGATAAATATTATTTGTTGATGGAATCATTGATATATCTTGTTCTTCTTTTTTTATTTTTATTGATATTGATGGAGAATTAATACGTTTTCGTTTTGTTGTTGTTGGTAAACGTTTCTTTTTTTCTGTATTTTCAGTTAAAGATAATGATGATGTTGATTTCTAAAATAAATAAATTATTATTAATAAACTATTAGTACAATCTCTGTACGATTTAAATGTCTTTAAAAAAATTCCTTCACTACTCTCGGACAAAAAAAAAACATATTTCTTTAACATACATCAATAAATCCCCCATGTAAACGCATATGACCATTAAGTGCAGCACCATTTTTAAATGTTTTTTTACAAATTTGACATTCAATACATTTTTCTTCATCAAATCTATTTAATATGAAAAAAAATACAAAGTCTCGAAAGAAAAAAAATTTGTTTTTTTTTTTGAATTCAAACTTACGTATAAGTTGTCATAGATTTAGATCCAGTTGATGTTCGATTATTAAATGATTGTTCATTATCAATTAATGATCGTGGTGAATTACTATCAATTGAATCAATTGAAAATTCATTATGTATTGATAAATCTTTTGTTTTAACAAATGCTGTTTCAGGTAAAAATTTTCTATATTCATCGTGTCCACCTTCATGTATAGCAGCTAAAATATCTTGATGTGTATTTTCAATATGTCGTTTTAATGAACGTGCATCACAATATGTTCGATTACAATTTGGTACACGACATTTATGTGGTTTTTCTTCTTCATGTGTTAACATATGACCATTACTATCAAGATAAAAGAAATTATGTCTTTTTTTTTTTTTTGTTTTTCTTAATTATTTAATATTTATTTACTTACAGATGATCAAGTCGTTTGAAACCTTTATTACATTTTAGACATACATGTTTACGATCTTGACTATGTGTTAATTTATGTTTTGCTAGAGCACTTTTATTAGTGAATGTCTAAAGAAAAATATCACGTTTTTTTTTTTGTTAGAATCTTTCGAACTTTATAGCCGAAATATGATCTCAAAGAAAGAAAAAAAAACTTCTTTTGAGTAGTCGCCCTCAGGAATGAGTCGAAAAATAAATTCATTCGAAACTTAGTTTTATATGTAAACAACCCCAGCTGAGTTTTTCAAGAAAAATAAAAATTGTTGGATGTACATAGATCGACTCAAATTTTTATGTTGAACAGAAATCTGACATTGAGTTTTTTATTTTAAGTAGAATTCGAAGACAAATACTCGACATACTACCGATTTTTAGTCAAAAATCGGTACTCTGCTTCATCATGAGATATCTTCTCCCAACTGTTTTTTAAATTGTAACAGATAAATTTTGTAACTAATGTAAAAAACTCTTTATGATAGAAAAAAATTGTGATGTTTGTTCTTGTTGTTAAAGAGATCGAAAGTCTAGAGATGAGCAAGCAATTCAGAATTAAAAATATCGAATATTGATTTTGTGCAAACTTTTTATTCATCCATAGAAAAATAGTTGATCTTGTCAACGAACATGCTTATCTCAACGTGATCTTTTGTTTGATATAAGATAGTAAGGGTCCTATGGGCCCGGCTTACGGCCACATCACACCTCCCCTCCTTTGTTTTATCTTATCTCGTCAATTATCACATATATATCTGATATCTGTCTATATTATACAAGCTAAAAGAGTTTATCGGCTTTCTCAATTTTATATTCTTTTACAATTTTGTGATTAACTAAATGTCGGCAATAAATAAAGTTTTTTATTATTTCACAGAAAAAAACTGTAATATGTGCAACATCACTGCTGCCATCTTGAATGTGTATAGGTGTTATCTGTGTCGCCAATTTTTCATTAAAATCAACGGTTCAAACGGTTTATTCTGTTTTTTTTTCCTATTAAATTAATATTTTCTGTCGTTGAAGAAATCGATTGCTACTCAAAAAAAAAGTCAATTTTAATATGTCATCGTATATTTTATGAGATGAGGTCATACTTTTTCTTATTGATTTATTTACTCTACTACCTAATGACTAATTATTTTTGTGGCGCCATCTTCAATAAAAAATCACATACAAAAAACAGCTGATATGACTGGAATATGTAGCATGAGCATTGTTACATTCGAGAAGAAATATGATTTTGACTAAAATTTAATATTTTTCAAAGAATTTAAAAATATTTATGCAATGAAATATAAAAATAAATCGAGTAGAAAAACGGTGATTTGCAAAATATGAGTCATTTTCTCTACATCCAACAAATAAATTCGTATCGAAAAAAAAAATTATCTTGATTAAGATAAGACTTAAAATGAAATATTTGTTTGTATCGCTTATAGTCAATATCTTGTTGATAGTTAATTATTTCCTGATTTCTTAGATTAATATCTCATGTGAAATAAGTATAATATGAATTTCCGACATAACTACATTTGCCTATAGCAAAATTAAATTCGACTAGTGTCGGAAATTAATAATGGAAAATTTCCTGTTTCCTTGAAATAATTTCTTGTTTTCAAAAATTGATATGATTGAGTGAAAAACAAGAAAAAAAACAAATGAATAAGTTTTACTTTATTACAATCAGGATGTGAACAATAATGTCGACTTTGTTGTTGTTGTAATGATATTGAATTGATATTTGTTTGATTATTATCATGATCTAATGATGATAATTTAATATCATTTGAAAGTGGTGATGATGAAGATAATATTTGCTGTTCTAAAAAAAAAAATAAATTCATTCGAGAAAAATTACAGATCGATGTGTTTTTTTTTTTTTGTTTTTTTAATTACCTGAAGATTTTAAAATCTGACTATAAATTCTTGATGATGTATTATGAGAACTACTATTTGTTGAACTATGATTACTATTATCATCTTGAATTAAACTATTTGAAGATATTCTTGTTGTTCGAATATCTGTATTTATAATAAGTGGTTTAGTTATGAAATCATGATTATTTTCTTCATTATTATCAACTAAATTTTCATTATGTGGATTTTTTAATTCATTTTGTTCAAGAATATTTGTATCAAAAATAAAACTTGATGTTCCTTTTGTTGATGATAATTGAGCATTATTATTATTATTATTATTATTATTTGTTGTTGTTGTTGTAGTTGTTAAATCAAAACCGGCACTTGGTATAGGACTAAAAGTTTTTTGATAATTATTTCCAACTGTTAATTGATTATCAGGATGATCATCAGATGCAAGTGGATTAGGTGGAGTTGTTAATATATGTGATTTACTACGAAGATATAAATGTGATGATGTTGATATTGTACCGGTTGGAATTGTTGATGAAGTTTTCGATTCATTAATAGATTTATTTTGTTCATCATCAAGTAAATCATGAGAATTAGAATCAACATCAGCTAAGGAAAACAAAAATCAAATATAATAAATATGTTGCCTGAAGCATATGTAGAGCCTTTCGAGTTCAAAACTATTCGAACCTGAACCTAACCGACAAGTTCTAGGGGCCAACGCTCCCTCGAAATTCAGTCTCAAGAGTCATCGACCTACAACGAACAACATATGTTCTAGCACTCATGTGTGTCAATAAGAAAAAAAAAAAACATTATGTTATGATAAACATTTGTGCGACATATTTTAAAAGTAAATGGCCTAGTCGTTGCTATTTAAAAAAAGGAAAAAAAAGCTAATATGAAACCACAACAAAAGCACTTGGTGCAACTTATTGTTGTTGTTTTTCTTTTCTTTTGTGTTAACAGCTGATAACATCGATACATGCAGATTTACCTCTGATTAATAAAATTGTCGAAAAAAAAAAGAAGCATTACTTTCTACGATCGTAAAAAATTAACTGGAAGCTTTCATACTTTTTTCCTATTCCGATGATATCTATATATTAGACAGATTTTACTGTATATTCAAACTACTCGAAATATGTATATAATGAATCGCACTATATAGGTTTTTTTTTTAATTCTAGTCTTATGTAACTGTAAACTAGAATATATAAGCATAAACATTACAAAATGATATGAAAAATTCTTCATAGAACTTTTATCAGATTAATATATATATATATATGCAACTCAATGTGTAAGTGCGATAGACTTAACTCAGTTCCACAACCATTGATTTATTGTCATCAAAAAAAAAAAGTTCAATTCAAAGGATTTATAAAACGGAAATGTGAATATTATTCATGATTCAGTGATTTTGAATAATCAACTAATTTAGTTTTTTTTTTTTTTTCGTATTAAAATAAAAGATAAAACCTACCAACGAGAGCATCAATTGAAGCTGATGGATCTTCATCATCATCAATGGGTATTGATGTAGAATTTTCATTCATACGTTTAACTATTAATGAACTAAGTGCTGGATTTGACCATTGTTGCTGTTGTTGTTGTTGTGGTTCTTCAATTTGTACTGAACATAAATGATTATTATTTGTTGGTGTTGATGGTTGATTTGTATTTGTTGATTGATGACTATTACTTGTCATATTAACCTTGATTTTTCACAAAATTAAATAAAATTTAAAAAAATTATTTTTTTTTTTTTTTTGATTATCTTACTTGTAATGTTGATGGTGGAAAATAAAAATAAGGATGATTATGATTTGGTGAAGCTGGTAATGGAAATGTATGAGGTGTATGTTGATGATATGGATCAACAATTTGTTGTTGTTGATATAAATGTATATTATGTTGTTGCGAATGATGATGATGATGATGATGTGGAGATAATTGTAAATGTTGTTGAGGTTGAAATTGAAATGTAGTTGTATATGATTGGGATGTTTGCGAAATATGTTGTTGTTGTTGTTGTTGTTGTTGATTATTATTATTATTATTTGTTTGTTTTATATAAAATATTGGTGCTGAATATATACCCGGATCAGTTGATGATTGTTGTGTATTATTATGATCAAATATAGATAAATCAATATTACTTGGTCGACTTGCACGACGAAGTGTTGATATAGGTGGATAATTATATTGTTCAATATTTGTTGTTGGTGATGGTTTAGTAGTTGAAGATGATGAAAGTTTTGTTGAATGCATAATTAAAAGAAATAAATTAGACTAGACGATCACTGTTCGATGATAATAATGCATAGAATACAAGATATGACAAAACAACAAAAAATAAAAATAAAAAAATAAACACGTAAATCTAAAATGAAAATTAATTTTTATTTATTTACTTATTTCCTTTTTTTTCTCCAAGTGACGTGTGTACCTGGTAGAGGAATGAAAAATAAAAAAAAAAAATACGTGAGAGAGCTAGAGCGAAAAACAAAAAAAAATAACCAATGCATATAGAGAGGACAAAATATGAAGAACGGCACTACTCTATAGGTGTAGAATAAGGAAAAAAACGATCAAACCTTATTGTTAAGTTAACTTAATACATGTTGTAGATTATCCTTTGAGCAAGAATGATAATCTCGAAATTGAAATTTGAAATAAAATAAGCAAAATAATAATAATAATAATAATAATATTCAAATATGTATTTGGGAAAAAAAACAAATTAATTGATTGATAGCACATGGACAGATTTCTATAAAGATAACTTGACTTAAGTATTCGTATTACACGAAAAAACAATAGAATAAAAATTATTTTTCTTTCCAACGAAAGAAAAACAATTTTTATTACAGTTTACTTATGAAATTTCAAATAAAATCATCAGATTTTGGTTAGTTTTCAACATATTAAACTAATACATTCATTTTTTTAACTGTACATTTATAGGTGTCGCTTAATTTAAAATTTATTCTTCCAAGTTTACCCTGGAAAAATTTCATTTAACATAAAAGAAGTCAGTATTTTTTAATAATTATATAGTTCAAAAGAAAAGAAAAAAAAAGAAATTCTAGATGGCGTTAAATGGTGATATAGACAAGAAAAGAACATTATCCTATGACCTGGATCAAAGACATACACACAAAATAAAGGCATTCAACCTTATGGTGCACAAGTTAATTTTTATTTTCTATTCGAACTTACTTATGTGACTATACAATAAAGGTTCTTTGTATTATTTCGAGTTCTATATATATATAGATATATATTACTAAAGGTTAGAACGTTCTATACAAGTATACAGACATCTATTATGAAAAAAGAGAATTGAGTCTCATCAAGATATAAGATCGAGCTTCTCAAAAACAATAAGAGATTAATTTATTTCATAAGTTAAATCAGAGGATGTGAGACTCTTCTTCTTTTCTCATATCGAGTCAACATTTTGTTTTTTATTTATGAATAGATAAAACATACAGTAGTTCCTTTGTTTTGTTATTCGTCTAATAAATATATTTTAAAAAAAAAAGCAACCACAAAGAAAACAAAAGCTTACTCTTTGCTACCAATATTCCAGCACTCTTTTATAACGTGGCATTCGTCTCACCATTGCCTGGTCGATTCATTCTCTGGATGTCGTTTTTCTCCGTTCTATTCTTAATTCAACGCTAAACATTCAGGAAGGAATGACAAGAAAAATAGCAAACAAAATTCTGAACCTTGTAGAAAAAAAAAGAAAAAGGAAGAGGAAAAACAAAATGATGTCAATTTCTCAAATAATGACTCTAAATATTTCCAGGTGGGTTATATACTTGTATTATAACTTGTTTATTTAGATGAGTAAATGATAGAGAACATGTTTTTTTAGTCTAACAATTAGCAACAAGTGAATATCGTTACTCACTTATACATGAAAAAGGAATAAAAAAAATGATAGCTTAATAAAGCACTTATAACAAAGATAAAAGATAATCATGCAACTTAATGATAAACAAAGTCAACTACGACTCATAAATTATCACAAACGAATCTTTATCTTATTATTTTATCATAGATTTTCTGTTTTGAGTCACAGCATATTTTTGGATATTTTGTTTTTCTTTTTTTTTTAATATATATAATGATCAAATACATTGAAGGATAATTAAAATTTTTACGATGTCTATGATGACATAAATGATTTTATATACATATATATATATATCATAATAAAATTTGGTATATTAATATAATATTGTAATTAATATTAATAAAAATTTCTGATTTCATTTTTGTTTCTTCAATAAGGATTAGATTTACTATAGAAAAATTATAATCATGTTGTTTGGCTAGGAAAAAGAAAAAAAAAAGATTTTCAAATGTATTATGTTGCTTTAGTAAAATGTGTATGTGAAATAAACAATTATAATTTGTTGAATAACATCTGTGTGTATATATATATAGAGAGAGAGAGAAAATATATTAATTTATTAATCATAAATCTAGGTTTCTAATGGTTAATAAGAAAATTTTCCAAATATGCACTCAATTTTTTAATAACTCTTTCATGAAAATAAAAATTAATTATTTATAGACTTTATATGAATATGATAATAAGCAGATGTCATATTTTCATTGTCTTTTTATCAAATAATTTACACATTAAATTTCTTATGCTTTATATTAAATCAAAAGGAAAAAAAAAACAGACACATTCTTTTGAACTAGAAATAAAAAGGTACTTAGTTTTATCAAACTATTTAATCGTATTGACCAATAATATTTTTAGATAATTTTTAATTCGCTATTATTTAGATGAAACATTCGAAAAAATATCTTTTTCAAATAAATATGGTGTCATTTTTGAATAAATATTATTATTTTTTTCTATAGTATTGTCAGCTAATCACTCCATTATTTATTCTAAATTGTTGTATGTTTTCAATCATCATTCAAAAAATGTCAATAATGACAAAACTTTCTTCTTTACATAGAAATAATATAATTTGTAAGTTTATTAAAATAATGTGTCATTTGAAAATATAATAAAGCAAAATACTATAATTCTAGTAACATTCCTAACAGATCATGTTGATGAAAAACAAAAAAAAGAAAAATCTAATCAATTTATTTATAAGCATTTATTCAATCTATAAGTTAAGATTTACATGTTAAAAAAAAACAAAAGTTGTCAATAAAACATGTCATTGAATTAAGCTTTTTCATATAATTTATGTATTTAAAATGATGTTTCATTAATAATCAGATGAATAGAATAGTTAAATCTTTACTCTAGTGAACATGTTTTCTGCATGATTACGTTCAATTTGGACGGAATGCCCTTTTCTATTCTAAATATAAACATTTCTTTTACAATCCGTTTTGTTATTATAACCCCTCTAATGTGTGTGCACATGTTATTACCCGTTTCTACTATCGATTACTCATCTTTTATGTACCACAAATAAATATGCTTTATGCAAAAATCCATTACTTTATATATATATATATGAAGAAATGAATGATATTACAACAAGAGCTTAATTTGAAAGATAAAAAAAAACATTGCATTTATTAATAAATTACAATAAAAATGAATTTATAATGTTATTAATTCATAAATAACATTAATAGAATTTTTTAAATACAAACACTCTAATAGTAAACGCTTTTGAATAGTTTCAATAATATTTTTCGATAGAAAGATTTTACTTGAGAATATTTCTATCAATGAATAATGAACAATTTGTTATTTCTTAAATATTTAATAATCATCAAATAAAAATAAAGATTACCTTGAATTGAAGGCTATACACTGATGAAAATCATTATAATCTAATCGATGATTATGGTATCGATTTATGAGTATATTATGTTTGTATTTTATCAACAAAGTTGGATGCTATTATGTAGAAAGCCTAGATTATGCTTCTCTCATGATCATTTAAATCCCTTGAGTCATAATCAATGTTACACTAGGAATATTCCACTTTCAGAATATATTGAAACTATAATAGTGTAGAGACTATAGTAAAAATTTTTTACCTATTATCATAACATTTTTTGGAGATATTCATAGGTTATTTAGTTAGCTGAAATTTTCTATGAACTTTCATTATCTTTTTTGTTTGAGTATGTCAAGCAAACAGAGTATGACAAATTCTGTTTTCTTTTTTTAAGCTGAAGAAAAAAAGTATGACAAGTTTAGTATTTCAATGAATCTTGACAAGTGAAGAAAAAAAAAATCAAATTTTTAAGATACTGAACTTGTCACTTTCTTTTTGGCTTAATAAGAAAGAATTTAAAAAAAGGCCTATTATGTCTTATAGTTTGACATAGTTAAACAAAAAAGATAATGTGAAAGCTCACAGAGAATTTCGACTAGAAAATAAACTAGTTTTTTTCCTTCTTTCATGAATATTTTTGAAAAATGTTACTCTGAGCCTTTATACTCTAGCTTCAACATATCCTGGAATTTTTATCCGATTGAATTATTCCTGACTCAGCGTGGATTTCGAGAGCTAAAGACTTCAAAGCATCAAACGGTAAATTTTGTGTTTGTAAAAACAAAAATTGTAATCAAATTTCATAAACTTTCGTTTACTTTTTATTAAGAAGCCAATTATTATACTGATATATAGTTGTGAATCAATCAGTAAAAA